GATTAGTAAAACTATAAACAACAGCAGAAATTAATCTAGAGATGGGTGAATTGAGGATCACCCATGGAGGCAATGCATTCTGCCATAGCCTCTATATGGCCACCATTTTTTCTTTTAAAAATTAGAAGGGAGGAGATGTTGGGAGCACAAAAGTTTTTTTTTCCTCTGAGATTCCTAGGGAATTTTTAAACATGCAGGGGCCTCTTCTCAACTGAGGAGATGAAACACTTGTTTTCCTGCTCAGAAAGCGGGGGTGGACATTGTTAATGACCTGGTGACCCTTTTGCTATCTGTGAAGGCAGACCCCACCTATCTTGTGATATGACACAGACCCCACCCTCTGTGATAGAGGCACACTTCATCTTAGATGTTTATCGCAGACTTTTCCCTCCCTAGACCTTTATCTTTAGCTATCAGTTAATAAAACTGAGGTGATTTGAATAGGAATGACCCTATAGACTCATGTGTTTGAATGCTTAGCCTATAGGGAGTGGCACTATTAGGCTGATAGGGTGTGGCCTTGGAGTGGCTGTGATCTTGTTGGAGTAGGTGTGGCCTTGTTGGAGAATGTGTCACTGTGGGGGTGGGCATTGAGGTTTCATATGCTCAAGCTACACTCAGTACAATTCACAATCTCCTACTGTTTGCTGATCAAGATGTTGAACTCACTGTTGCTTCTCCAGCACCATTTCTGACTGCATACTACTGTGTTTCCCACCATGATGACAATGGACTAAACCTCTGAACTGTGAGCCAGCCCCAATTAAATGTTTGCCTTTTTAAGAGTTGCTGTGATCATAGTGTCTCTTCATAGCAATAAAACTGAAACTAAAACACCTCTCGTAGGGGAGGTATCACACATATTTTATGGCCTGCTGACCTCTATGCTATCTCAGTTAGAGACCACACTGAATTCTAGGTCTTATAGATACTGTCTTCATGGACACATGTACTTTGAAAAGAATTTCTGTATAGTCACATCCCAAGCTTTATTGAGTATTTGGACTTGGAATGACTGTTGCCTGGAAGCCTTTCCCCAAATTGTACTGTGTTTAAATGTGCTGCATTGAACCATTTGGCATCAGACTCTCTGAGGTTTGATCCAGGTTTACAAACTAAGTTTTCATTCTCACTTCTTTATGGCCCATTTTCCTGCCTGACACCTGCAGGGTCCCCAGTCAGTTTTCCTTTCTCGTCTTCCATGTCACTTTGTTCTACCATCCCTCTGTTTATTGACTGATTGATGGACTGAGACAAGGTCTGTCTCTGTAGACCAGGCTGGCTTCAGACTCACAGAGATCTACCTGCCTCTGCCTCCTGAGTGCTGGGATTAAAGGTGTGTGCCGCCATACCTGGCCCTTATTATTTTAAGTTGGGTTGTGAGATAGTAGGCTTCCACATAGCTTTTCAAGCCCCTTTCCTTGAGATTGGTCCTGCTTTTCACCACCTAGTTTCCTGTATTCCCATGTTCTTCCCGGCTTAAGCCTTTCTGTCCCCAGTATTCCTTCTCCAGACTTTCTTTTTACCTATAACCTCCTACCATTCTCCTTTCTGTGCCCTGCTTACACATGTGCTCCAAGTTAAAACCACAAAACAAGAGATTGTAAGCTGGGAACTGCATAAGAGAGATGCATGGTTTTCTTATTTGAGTGAGGGTTTTCACTCAGGGTATTTTTTTTTTTTTTTTTCATTCCATCCATTTGCCTGACAATTTCACTTTTTACAGCTAGGTAATATTACATTGTCTATATAAACCCTTTCTTTCTTTTTTTGAGACAGAGTTTCTCTGTGTAGCTTTGGAGTCTGTCTTGGAACTCTCTCTAAAGACCAGGCTGGCCTCGAACTCACAGAGATCCACCTGCCTCTGCCTCCCAAGTGCTGGGATTAAAGGCATGTGCCACCACCACCTGGCTAAATCATATTTTTCTTATATAGTCTCCTGTTGGTGGGCATCTAGGTTTCTTCCACTTCATAGGTATGAACAAGGCAGCAATGTGAGTGGATGCTCAAGTGTCTCTGTCGTGGAATTTAAGTCTGTTGGGTGTGTACCCAGGAGTGGATAGTATGGCAGCAATATTTCATGTTTTTAAAGAAATGTCCAAGCTAATTTCCAGACTCCCACCATCACTGTATAAAGTCCCCCTCCCCCCACGTCTACATCAGTGCTTGTTATCCTGTGTATTACTGATGATGGCTGTTCTGACTGGGGTGAGATGGAATCTTAGCATAGTTTTAGTCTGCATTTCCCTGATGGCTTCCTAGCCATTCAAATGCATTCTAGCAATCTCTATTTCTTCTTTTGAGGATTTTCTGTCATTCTAGAACCAACTTTTAAATTAGGTTGTTTATTTAAAATATCTTGATTTTATTCCTGAGTTCTTTAAATATTCTGGATATTCATCCTCTTCAGTGTATAGCTGGCGAAGACTTTTTTACATTCTGTGGGCTGCCCATTCACTGACTTCACAGTACCATTTGCTGTATAGATGCCACAAGGTCCCACTTGCTGACTGTTGGTCTCATTCAGAAAATCCCTACCTGCACCTGTCACTGGAAGTATGTGTCCCACTTTTTCAGAGCATCAGGTCTTACATGGAGATCCTTGTCCCATTTGGAGTTGAGGCTTTTTGTTTTTGTTCATTTGTTTTGTTTTTTAAAGTAGAGAGCTCTTCTTTTTTTAAAGGTTTATTTATTAATTATACATACAGTGTTCTGCCTGCAGGCTGGAAGAGGGCACCTGTTCTCATTACAGATGGTTGTGAGCCACCATGTGATTGCTGGGAATTGAACTCTTATACTCTGAGCCATCTCTCCAGCTTCAGAGTTGAGGTTTTGTTTGTTTGTTTGTTGTTGTTTTATTTTAATTTTTTGATGAATTCTTTGAGAATTTCACACAATATATTTTAAGCATATTTAGTCCTCCTCCCCCCACTCCTCTCAACTCTCACCTCCTTATCCACCCAATTTCCAGTCTTTTTTTCTTTTTGTAGAATAATCTGAATCCAATTTGTGTTGCTCAACTACTCTTGGGAGTAGGGCTTGCCGTGGAGTGTGGTCCACCTACCCAGTGTCACACCATTACTGAAAACCAACTCTCCGTCTCCTAGGCACTAGTAAATCCCAACAACACCTCAGCTACTAGTGGGATTTTGTGTCCATCTCGGGTCTCCATGCTGTGATTTGGTCTGCTTTGAGCTTTGAGCTTTGTCTGGCCTTGTGCACACTGTCACAATCATTGTGAGTCTGTATGTGCAATTGCTCCGTTGTGGCCAGAAAAGTTTCCCTGATGTTATCACTACCTCTGCCTCTTACAACCTTTCTGACTCCCACTTCCATGAAGCTCCCTGAGCTTTGGTAGGGAGCGGTGTGGTCTGTATGGCCATTTAGGATTGAATATTCACAGTCTTTTAAAATTCTGCATATTGATCATTGTGGGGGTGTCTCTGTGTTAATTGCCATCTAATGTTAGAAGCTTCTCTGAAGGAGACTGAGATTCACTGACCTACGGGTTCAGTAATAAGTCATTAGGAGTCATTTAAATACTATGTTCATTTAGAGAATAGTATAAATTTTTCTTGAGGGCCTATGACCTAACCACAGGTTGACAGCTCCATTCCCAGTGACAGGTGTGAGTTCCATTTCATGGAGCAGGTCTTCAATCCATGTAGAAAGTGGTTGGTTACTGTAATACTCATGCTACTGTTGTACCAATGGGTATATCTGTTCAGGACAGTCATTGCAATACATCACTGGTTTCACAGCCAGGTGAGATTGAGGATTGTTTTTATCTTCCAGGAACAGGCATTGCACCTTCTAGCATTGTGACAACTAGCTAGTGGGGATGAAACTTTCAGGTCAGGACCAGCTCAGTTTCACCATGTTCTGATTCAAATACAGTGTCTTCAGCAATAGAATCTTGCTGTCAAGTTCTGGAGGGTAACCAAGAGCAATAGCAATAGCTTGTAATGTTTGGGTGTCTATGGACCCCACTGATCAACATGGAGTGGTGTGTGTGTGTGTGTGTGTGTGTGTGTGTGTGTGTGTGTGTGCGTGTAAGGTAAGAATCTGTTTACATCTCTATATATTGATAACCAGGTTTCCAGCATCATTTGTTGAAGATGTCATCTTTTCTCTGCTGTTTATTTTTGTCACCTTTGTCAAAGGTCAGTAGCTGTAGCTGCATGGACTTTTAGGCCCCCAATTCCATTCCACTGAGCTGTGTACCTGTGTGTGACAGTAACATGGCACTTTTTAGTACTATGGCTCTATAGTATGGTGATTCCGCCCCTATAGCATCCTGTTTATTCAAAGTGTTTTGGCTAGGCTTGTGTTTAATGCTGCTATGTAAATTGTGAGTTTTTCCCCTATGTCTATGAAGAATGGCTAGTGTAAGATGAAATAAGGTTTAATTTTTTATTATCATGAGGGTATAGCACAGCATAGCGCATGTTTCAAGGTCAGGGGACAATTTTGTGGAGTTGGTTCTCTCCTTTCACCTATATGTAAGTTCCAGAAATTGCTTCTGAGCCACCCACTGAGCCATCTCACAGTTCCCTTTGGTGTTATTTTTATTTAAAAATGTTTTAAGAACTCAACAAAAAGTTCACCCATAGCGTTAAGGAAAGTTGATGTGATCCTCTTCAAAAGTTACTTTGGAGTTGTTTATCTAGAATGCCATGAATTCAAATAAAATTACCCAAATGGTAATAATCCACATTTTAAAATTTCAAATTGAACTGCAATGCAAGGCACACTCTTGGTCTCTTGCTTGTGTGAGCTATTTTGTTCTCTTTTTGAGATGGAGCTCCATGCTGCCCATTCCAGTCCTTGAACTTCTGATCCTTCTGCACTAGTATCACCACACCTCATCATGCTGTTTTACAATGGAAAATTTATACTCCATTCAATCGAGATTTCCCCATCAGAAATTCCAATGACTTTGCTTACATTAAAAGGTGAAAATATTGTGAAAACATTCTTACATAATTAAAAGCTTTATTTCCATTAATTTTATTAACTTTATTGAGATATATAATATATATGCAACATAGTTCATTGGAACCCTTTGGCTCATCATATTTTGATATATATGTAGCACTACAGAATCACCACTAAAGTAATTTTAGAAAAAAATATGGACCCCCAAAGATATTGTATATCCATCAGCAGTAATTTTAACTTCTAACAATTACAGTCTTGGATCACTCATCTACCATCTGTCCATAAAGCTGTATATTCTGTAATTTCATATCCATATCCAAATGACATGTGGCCTTTTCTGCCTGCCTCCTGTCACTCAGCATCATGTTATAACATGTGTCAATTATTTCACATGGCTGGAAATTGTCAACTGCATTTATATGCCACTTTTTGTTGATCTGCTAGGGCAATCTGGGTTGTCAATTTGGGGTTATTATGAATAATTCTACTATCAACATTTTGTACAAATTTTTGTTATACAAGCCAAAAAGCCAAATTGGAACTGTTTTAGTAGTATGTACATATTCACTGAACTTTTCTGATAGAAGTACATTCAGAGGTATAGAAAACAAACACATTCCTAAAATCTCACCAATGCAGCATGAGGTAGAAATATAGAGAAAAGCTTTTGCAGACTGTTATCATCATCATTTGTTCCTCAAATTAATCTCTTTGGATTTTAGGAGCGAATCACAATGAAATTAGATACCAATATGGGTGGCAAAATGCAAAAGGCTAAATCACAGTTTACTGAAGTGGGGTCCTGCCAAGCTTTGCCATTCTTTCAAAGGAGGGTTTCCCTGTGCAACCAGCTTTCTCAGGTAGTCACTAGGCTCCAGTTGTGGGATGTCAGGGTTTTGTTTGTAATATTTCTGCAATTTCTCTAGAATTGTAGGCAAGCCAACTGAGGCAGCATAGAACATGGGCCCACCCACGTGCCTTGGCCACCCATACCCATGCAAGTAAATGACATCGATGTGCTCTGGGCTGGCAGCCATCCCCTCCTCTAAGATGCGGAATGCCTCATTGATAAGGGCATACAAGCAACGCTCCAGGATCTCCTCCTTGCTGATGGAGTGCTGCTCAATGTGATGGGTTGCTCTATACTGTGACAGGAATGTGGAAAGCCAGGGATCAGGTTTGTAAACCCGACCCAATGGTTTGTCATATTGGTACCAACCCTTACCTGTTTTCTGACCAAATCGCCCATACTCACAGAGCAGATCAGAAAGTGGGGAGTATCTGTTATTACCTCGCTTACGGGCAGGCGTTCCTGGTGGCAATGAAGGTCCAGTAAGGCCTTGACCTTTACGAATTTTCCAACCCACATCTAGCCCTGCCAGGTCAGACACTCTAAAGGGTCCCATTCTAAAACCAAACTCTTCTAAGACCCCATCTATATGCTCTGGTTTACTGCCTTCCTCTAACAGGAAGTATGCCTGATTGTAATAGGGAATCAGCATTCGATTCCCAACAAATCCATGGCAGTTGCCTACAACGACCCCGATCTTTCCAATCTTTTTTGATAAGTTCATAACAGTGGCAATGGTAGCAGGGGAAGAGTATCGGCTTGGAATAACCTCTAGCAACTTCATGACATGAGCTGGTGAGAAAAAGTGGGTGCCAATCACCAGCTGAGGGCGGTCTGTGGCAGAGGCAATCTCATCCACGTTCAGGGCTGAAGTATTGGTGCACAGAAAGGCTCCTGGCTTGCACAGGGCTGACAGTTCAGCAAAGACCTGTTTCTTCAGATTCATATCTTCAAACACAGCCTCAACCACTAGATCCACACTTGACAGCTCTTTTGTGGATGAGGAGAACCTAAGCTTGGGTCCTGCCAAAGCGTGGCCACTCGGCTGCATTTTGGATGCTTCCTTTTCCAAGATGGCAGTAATCATCTTCCTTGCAACATCCAACTGTTTCAGGTCCGACTCTACAGCAACCACGGGGATCCCAGCCCTTACAAAAGTAATGGCAATGCCTCGCCCCATTGTCCCCAAACCTATGGATAAGAACAAAGGAAAGAAAACACAATTTGCTGAACAGGTGGACACTGGTACAAGGCTCTGTGACAAAGTGGCATTTTAAAAGATTGACCATGGGAGAGATTGCTCTTCCAGAGGTTCTAGGTTCGATTCCTGGCACCTATATGGTGGCTCACAACCATCTATAATGAGATGTGGTGCCCTCTTCTGGCATGCAGGCAAACATGCAGACAGGACACTGCAATAAATAAATAAATCTTAAAAAAAAAAAAAAATGAAAGTAACAGACCCAAGCATAGTGCTGCTGCTGTCACAGTGTGTGCTGATCGTGCATGTGGCCCTGGCTTCTGTCCCCAGCACCAAACATGAGTAAGCACGCTAGGATTGGTCAATGAACATAAATGTTCTGAGTTCATGCACGGCTAAGTGCTCCAGAGGAAATAAAAATCCGTAGGATTCATATTCATATATACACACAAGCTATTAAAACTAGTGAACAAGCCCAGGAAAGCTTTAGGATATAAAATCTGTATACAAAAGCCACTGGGTTCTCATTAATATTTATTTCTCTGTGTGTGTATGTCACAGATGTCAGAGGAAGGAAATGGGTGTTCTCTTCTGTTACTGTCTGCCTATTACTTTTGTAACAGGGTCCTCTCTCTTAAGAGGGTGGGGACTTATGTCTTTTCACCTACACTGTAAGCCAGCAAGTCCCAGTGACCTCCCTGTCTTTGTCCTGCTTGGAGCTGGGGCGCTGGGGTCTAAATCCTGATGTTTCAAAGCAGGTATCTTAACTGCTGAGCTATCTCTCCAGCCTCAAAAAATTTCCAAACATTAGCAATGAACAATCTGTATGAAAATAAGAAAATAATTCTACCTACCATAACACCAGAAAGGAATACATTTAACAAAGAGAGCTTCTGTACTAAACTTAATGAAATACTATTGAAAAAATATGAAAGAATGGCCGGGTGTTTAGTTGTTAGGTTTAAAGTGCTTGTCTAGCATGCACAAGGCCCTGAGTTTGGTCCCTAATGTTGAAAACAAGAAAAGAAAAAATAAAGAAGGAAGGGAGGAAAAGGGGAGAGGGAGGGAAAGAAAGAAAAGGAATCAAAGAATACCTAAGTAAGTCAAAAGGCATCCACTGTTCACAGACCCGTAAAACGTTAATACTGGTAAGATGAAATATCAAATTGATATGTAGGACCAATGCAAACTCTGTGCCATCACAATTTTTACATAAATTAACAGTGGATTCTAAAATTCATATAGAAATGCAAGAAGCCTAAGAGAGTCAAAACAGTGTTTTAAAAAATTGGAGAAGTCACTGTTCCCAATTTCAATAATTATGACAAAACTGTGGTGTTCAAGGCAGATGCAGTTGACTGAGAGTCTGAAAAAAAACAAAAAACAAAAAACAAAAAACAAAAACTCCCCTCCTAAGGCCCATGTGTAGACAGGACTACTACTGTTGAAAGGTCCCTGGAGCTGACCTGCTGGATGGAGGGAGTTCATGTACTCTGGCAAGAATTAACAAGAACTAACATGAGCACTAAGTTCAAAAAAGAACTTAACATTCAGTAGCCTCAAGTGAGTGACATTTGAAATGGGCTGTGGTTTTTGTACACAACAGTGTAGTTGTGCATATGAACTGACAACACATAAGACCTGCACAAGAGCAAGCAGACAAAAATCTCAGCATAAAGGGGGAGGGGCAGGAAGTCTGACCCCTGCTAAGGGGCTATTGGCCATTGATGGTTGTTGGCAGAGGGAAAGTCGGTTTTCTTTAAGAATGAGCCAATCCTCCCAAGAGGCTACCTGACACCCATGCACATACTAGCAGCACTAAGTAGCCTCTGTGATTTTAAAAGAGAGAGAACACATGAAATTTGGGAAATAGTGGTGGGAGGAGGCTAAATTGAAGGAAAGGGAACAGGGTGGGGGGGCTTGATCCAATGTTCACATGTATGAAATTCTCAATTGAGTAAAAGAAATGCACATGTTTGAAGAATGCACTTACCAAGAACACCAACTGAGGAGACTGGTTGAGCAGATGCTGTTTTCCAAGATGCTCCAGAGGGAGTTGACCACTTATTTGTAGACTTTTCAGCAAAAAAGGCATACTGCAGGGCTCTAGCTTGTCCTGATGCCCGAAGGTACATAAACAGCTTTTCTTCTTCCTTAATGCCCACTTCATAGGGATGCTTCACAGAGGCCTGGACTGAGCGGACACAAGTCTCTGGAGCCAGCCGGCCCGGGAACTGCTTTCGTACCTTGGCGATGGCTTCTGCAAAAATACTGTCCATGTTGGGCAAGCTTGGAACTGGCTTATTGAAGAGTCTGCGGGGTTCTAGAGGTTTATCTAAAAGGAATCGTAAAAGATCAGAGCACTGCAAGTATAATACAACGGCAAAAGGACCCCACCACGGCCGAACAATAGTGCATGCTTCCTGTGACCCAACTAGAAACCATGCATTATTATTTAACGAAACACTAATTCCCAAATCTACTATCTTAGTAACTTCAGACCATAAAGTAAAATTTAGAAGATCTAAAATATTAAGGTACTAATCCAGGCATGGAAAGTACATTCTCTTTTTATTGTGAGGTCAAGACAACTTTATAATAGATTAAATATTAATCTGTCAGTGAGTCCAAATATGCCAGTTCTTAGTTAATATATTCAAAATTATTCACATTCCTTTCTTGACAGAACCATTGGTGGGGGTTCTAGACAGGGTTTCTCTGTGTAACAGTCCTGGCTGTCCTGGAACTCACTCTGTAGACCAGGCTGACCTCAAACTCACAGAGATCCGTCTGCCTCTGCCTCCTTAGTGCTGGGACTAAAGGCATGTGCCACTCCTGCCAGCTACAAAACCTTTAAAATACCATAACAGATGGGAAGTAATATGATGCAATGATTGCTGATGGAAGATAATTGGAAGTTTATTGGTGAACTGATTTTCAGTACAGGAGGGAAGATAGTCAACGGGCGTGGTGTGGGGGTCTTTTTCTCCAAAAAGGAGATGAGGTAACTGGAGACACAGGTGGGGTACCTGGATACACAGGCTGAGGAAGATGAGACCTGTGCAGTCCATGGTTGCTGTCCTTTGAGGATGACAAATGAAGACAGTGTGGATAGAAGAGGGGACCGGGAGAGAACAGGTGGTGGGAGGGGCAAGTGGAAGAGAGAGGAGGATGGATGTCAGGGCTGTGGCCTCACCCCTGCAGGACACTCAGACGGGGAGTGCTAGCCTTGCCGCTTCTATTGCTCCCTCCGACACTACAGCTGCCTCCTAACTAACACCACTGCACACCCGATTCCTTCAAATGTTTACATTCAAATGGCTGGTTCCCATCACAGGTGCAGTTTAAGTGGTGTAAGGGCATAGACAGGATGGGACAATGTGAACAACATTAGCATTTGACTTTGATGCAGTCTCACGGAGGTCCAGGAGCAGATCTTAGCCCTGGGAGTTACTTCTGGGGGGCAGCTGTGGTGTCTGGCAAGTCCATCCAGACACCAAGGAGAAAAACATCACCCATGAAATGTGCAGGTGGTGATAGGCAGTGGGCACCACTGGCCAGCTCAGCACCAGCTGCTGGGAAAACAGGAAGGCTGGGATGAAACAGTGACTCCAACAGGCTTGTAATTGCCACTACCCTAGGTTCTACTCACAAGTTTTGACAAAACAGTGGGTTGTACTTCAGAAGGACACAAATGTGGTCTTCTCGCCTACACCCTCTTGCCAACCTGGCAGGAGGAGACTGTCAGTCTGGCTAAAGAGACCCAGTGCTCACATAAATTGCTTCCTCAGACACAAAAGACTACTTTCTTCTTACCCTGACCTCATGTGCTGCACCCACAACTGCCCATCATCAACTTCAGGAGGGCCGCTCACGGGTAGGTGGCACATCAAGAGGAGGCCTCCCTGTGGGACAAGGTCACTCGATTCTATAGAAACATGGCCATACAAATATTCACTTGAAGTGAAAATAAATTACAAAGAGAAAGGCTAAGGAAAGACCCGCAATAACTAACAGAAACAAAGGTCTTTGAAACAGAAACAGAATTGTTAAAAATGGACCAAACATCCAGGGCAAAGGGCCTGAGCTCATTACATAGACAAGAATAGAGCATCAGAGGAAAGCATGCTGGCGTATGCCTATCACCCCAGAACTTGAGACAGTGAGGCAGGATGATTGAGCATTTGGCCAGCCTGGGCTAGAGACTCTGCCTCCAAAACAAAAACCAGGGGCTGCAGAAATGGCTCAGCAGTTGAGAGTGTTTGTTGCTCTTCCAGAGGATCAGAGTTTTGCTCCCAGCACCTGTGTAGAGTGGCTCACAACCACCTGTAACTCTGGTTACAGGGGATTTGATGCCCTCTTTGGCCTCTGAAGGTACTGCTCTCATTTGCACAAACCCATACAGATATACACATAATATAAAATATAAGCTCAAGCCCCAAACCCACCAATGAGCCAACCCCCTAGAGCATCCATTCCTGAGAAGAGACTCCTAGATGGACACTCCGTGTGCCCAGCCCTCATGTTTAGCTTCACACCAGGAACATGTAGTGGGGATGAGTTCTCACCTGTAGGATGGCCAGGCTGCTGCTAGTCACAGGCAAGTGGAAAGAAGTAGCATTTTACAACCCCTGCCCCTTCCTCAGAGGAGGCTCTGCCCTCTCTCTTGTACCTCTGTAGTCTGGGAGGTTTTGTTTGTTAGGAAAATGAAGATGCTTAACGAGCTTTCATAGTCAACTCTCCAGGATATGGTGTTAGGTTTGTAGAGAAAATGCACACCATGGGCACAAGAGCTCCTCAGCTCCCTCTTGATCATCCCTGGCTCCAAAATACTGCTACAATGGGAGCCACTCTCCTCACTCTCGGGAGGGGGGAAATGAAATCTTTTCTTTTTTGGTGTTTCAGTTCAACATTTGAGTAGTGGATGTGGCAATAGGCTGCAGGCTATGTGATAAAAAAAAAAAAAAGCCCAATGTAGTCAAGTTGGAGAACTATTGCTGTGCATTAAAACTAGCTTCACACACGTGTATAAACACACGTTTAATGATGTATTTGTTGTTTATGAACCTGACCATCAAGGCAATCTACCCATTTTGTTTTGTCAAATGGTTATATACTAATAGCTACATTTAAGAGTAAATGAGAGAGAAAGCAGGGAAGCATAAAAAGAAGAAGACCTCAACTAAAATGGAAAGCAGGCATCACTAACTGGCGTGTTTTGAGAGATAATAAGTCACAAATAGAAAGATGCTCTTAGTCAGGTCTTTATTGCTGCCCAGCTTTTCTACTGTTCCCCTATTACATTTACCTTCAACAAGGAGAAAACTGGATCTCACATAGCCAAGAACGGCCTTCTATCCTCCTGCCTCCACCCCAGGGAGCTGGGATTACAGGAGTGTGCTAACACCCACAGTGTTATGACTGCTGGGATTGAATCTGGGGACCCCCACATGTGAGATAAGCACACTATCACCCCTAATATGAAACAATAAGATTCACACAGTCCATTTTCTCGAGTGGGCTCTGTTTTGCTAGAGACAAGCAGAGACTCCCTCGGCTCCTTTAAGTGAGGTTTCCTGACTTGGCATAAGCTGAAAACCCTGCTAACAACTGAATGGTGTGTACAAGAGCTGGCAATGGCAGTGACCACATCTCCAAGCCGGCAACATGCTGCTGGATGGCAGCATAGACCAAGGCCATGAGCACAGCTCTCAGTACTGGCACTAAACATACCCCAGCCATCTTGGATAGAGGCGGCTACAATAGCCACAGCTTTGATTTAGCAATGTTGTTATTTAGCAGATAAAAGACTTGTGGCCAGAAAAACGTAAAGATTTACAGTAAAGACAGATTAAGATAAATAAAAACCTCTAAAGGTTTACAGTGTGTTTTAAAATATACGTAGGCTTGGGAAAGAAAAAGAAACAGGATAAAATGGTTAAAAAAATAGAAAGAAAGAGAGAGTAGCTGCATGTGGTGGCACACACCTTTAATTCCAGCACTCAGGAGGCAGGAGGAAAGTTTTGAAATCTCTGTGATTTCAAAGTGAACCTGGTGAACAGAGTGAATTTCAGGACAGACAAGAGTTCACAGAGAAACCCTGCCTCAGAAGATGAAAAAATAAAAGTAAAATAAATAGAGCAATAAAAAAGCCATGGAAAATACTCAGAGACTCTGGATACTGTATGCTATTTTGTGTCTGAATTGTTTGACTGCCGAGGAAATAGCAACAACTGATAAAAGAAATGCTACTGGATTAATCCAATTTATATATTTTAAAAATGCCTTGACTTCAAAATTTAAGCATAAGGATATGTTACTTTGGAAAAGAGATTTCATTTGTGTTTCCACAGAAAATGAAAAGCTATGGATTCCTTCCAGACTAATATGGTTTGATGAAGCAAGACCCCCTGACACAATGTCCCAGGTAATCCAACATTCAAAACAGCTGGGACAAGGCAGGCAGCCTTGCAGACCACTATAGCCAGGATTTCTGCATCTTCTTAGGATCCCAAAGACAGCACCCCTAATAGCAAGAAGCAGTTTGGAGAGAACAATACCCACATTCCTAAATATTGTTTATGAATGTTTGTTTCCACTTACATGGAGTTGGTTATGCATGATAATGATCACAGTCAATCTATTTTTAAAGGAAAAAGGGGGGAAATTATTTAGGAATGAATACTTTGCATTAGTATTGGAGTTTCATTTATTGATACAAATTTAAGGTCAATTTTGTGATATGTAAATTTCTCCTCTTGTTTAGGTATTTTGTTTATACAGATCTTTTAAAATGTAATGCATAATTAAATACAGATTGTATATAATCATTTGTAATAGTCAAAACTTATGTTAGTTAGGATTTCTAGATATACAGAGATATATTTGAGATGAATAGTCTTCAAAATTTTCAAAGACCTTCTGAAATTGGCATTTAAAATGGTTTAGGGTTTTTCATGACTATGAGATACAACTGCTTCTGGCAAAACCAATTATGTCTGAGAGGAAGATGGGCATTGGAGACACTTGTTATGAAGTTTGCTTTTGATATAGCAAGACTAGCCATTTGGGCAAGAAACTGCTAAAGAGTCACTGCAAACCCTGCCTAGACTGTTTGACTGTTGCTGTATAAACTAGACATGCAGGACCCACAGGAAAGTGACTGCTGAACTTGCAAAAAAAGATGGGTAGTCCTGAAGGATTCCTGCTTCGTGGAAGAGTCTGCCAGACATTCTGCAGGACACAGAGAAAAATGACTGACAAACTGTCAATACAAGCAGACAGTTACAATTCCTTGCTTCACTGAGAAGTCTGTCAGACACACTATGGCCTATGGGCTGAAGATGGGTGCCCCAACATTACAGAGAACTTCTAGTGATTGTCCATGTAGCATTGTCTCTGTCAGTTCTAGAGTTTATATGTTATCCTTCTGTGGTCTTTGATGGAGTTAAGACAGTTATGATTATAGTTAGGACTAAATATAAGTTACTTATAAGACTTTATAATCACAAAAATAAGATAGAAGATGGAATATTTTCTTTAAATCTTGCTAAATGTTAATGGACTAAATATTGTTAACTATAATTCTTATTTGATAACTATTTTGTTATATATTTTACTATGTTAAAGTTAAAACCCTTTTTATTTAGACAGAAAAGAGGAGATGATGGGAAATGTCATTCTATATGTTTCTCATATTGGTTAATGAATAAAAAGCTTTGTTGGCCAATAGGAAAGCAAGATAGGCAGGGCTAGGAGACAAGGAGGATTCTAGGAGATGCAGTAGGAGAAGTCAAGATGTAGGACATGAGAGAAGAGGTCCAGACCCTCTCTCGAGTAGGATAAGACCACGTGGAAGCACATAGATTGATATAAATGAGTTAATAGTTAAGACAGAGCTAGCCAATAAGAAGCTCTAGCCGTTGGCCAACAGCTTTATAACTAATAGAGTCTCTGTGTGTTATTTTGTGACTGATGCGGCTGTGGGACCAGGCTGGTGGGAAAATACTTGTAATAAAATGGTGCCCACAACATGGGTACTAAGAACTTCCACTTAAAATGTAACAAAAACTTAAAAAAGGATTTTAAAAACAAAAGGACAGAGACATAAAACAAATAAAAACACAATAGCAATTTAAAAGTTCTATTATTCACTGAAGCCCAAAACAGACATGGTGGGTGTGATTGTGATTGGTTGTAGCAAGGACTAAACACTAAGCCCCAACCAGCATGGCCCTTGCTCTCTCAGAATATGGCCAAAAGTCAACTAACTTTGTGGAGCTCTTCCTTTTTAGTGACAAGAAAATCAAAAAGAAGAACGATTGTGGTCCAAGTGGCTAAGTGGAGAATAAAACCCATGTTCTTGATGTCCAGCCAGAGGACATTTATGTATCAGACTGCACCTACCAACATACTGGGCAGGCCTCTCTTTTACCCTCTGGGTAAAATTCAGTGGCTTGGATGGTGAAAAAAGAGCAACATTTTCAATTGTTTTATTTTAGTATTATTGTGGGTGCACATATGGACATACATATCCTGTTTTGTGTGTGAGCAAATGTGAAGATGGTGAAGATACAGAGTGGTAACAACATAATTGTCCATCAGCTGATAAAGAAATTGTGGTTCAGCTGGGCATTGGTAGTGCACGCCTTTAATCCCAGCACTTGAGAGGCAGAAAAGAAAGGAAGGGAGGAAGGAAGGAAGGAAGGAAGGAAGGAAGGAAGGAAGGAAGGAAAGAAGGAAGGAAGGAAGAAATTTTGGTGGTTCAGTCATATGGAACACATTTTAGTAATGGAAAGTAGTCAATTATTACTAGATCAGACAACACAGATGGTTCTCAAAAAACACAGTAAGTGAAAGAAGCCATGCAGACTCCACACTACAGCTATATAAAACTCTAAAAACAGAAAACATCATTGTCTTGAAGTTGGTGTCTGCTGAATGGCCAAACAAAATGGAAAGCATCTACCAGAAGGAGCCAATCTTTTTGAGGTGAAAAGTGTATTACCACTACACCGTAGCAGTAATCACTCAATTATTACCAACACTCACCAAACTCTGCACTTAAATGGGTAAAATTCATTGTGCATAAAGGAACATCAGGGAAGCTCAGGGGAAATTCTAACTCCATCTGTGTCGCTACTTAAATGGAGAATGGTAAATAAAGTTAATATGATCTATACAACGAGGAAACACATAAAACAAAATGGAAACACATCCAAAAAATCAGAAATATCTGGGCAAACTAGCATAGCCTAAGCTAGGAAAAACCAATAAATAAAACAAGGGCTGGTGACATATCTCTGTCACACATGTGCAAAGCCCAGAGTTCAATTCCCAATAATCCTCTCCACAAAGCAGCACACAAACAAACAAGCAGGCAAACAGAAAACCATACCACAATAAAAAACAAACCCTCAGATAGTAACTTTTGGAGAAAACTCTTTTCCATTTGTCATTATCTCCTTACCATTTATGTATTTACTCATATAAATTCTAACTAGCTATAAGTTTTTGTAGTGTTTTTTGTTGTTGTTTGAATTGGGATCAAACCCAGTTTCACTATGCTAGAACTTATCCCTCAGGAAGATCCTCACATCTGAAACATTTGTACATCACACGCATATTTTCTCATCTCCATCCTCTCTTCAGGACAAAAATGTAAAACAGTCACTGAAGCCAAAACCATAGGCGACTTAACTTTTAAAGCAGACAATGCCTTGACGTTGGGGAGCCACCAAGTGGACAAACTCCATAATGTTGCTGACTGAGACCGGCCATCATTGTATTTTATTACCTTTCTAATTTAATGTTTAGAATTAACTTTAAAAGCTGAAGGGAATAAACGCCCCCCAGATCACAGTGTGAGTGCAGAGGACCTGGGTCCTTATCCTCTGCTGGAAGTATCTCAGCTCTCAAAACAGAATCCATGGAGACCAGGTAAGAATAGACGTCCCATAAAACCAAGGCCAGTACAAACAGAAATCAATAGTGTAGCTTGATGCCAAGAATGGCCTAGGGCACTCTCTGTAAGCAGACTGTGAGTTAGTGTTCACAAGCCAGGCAGCCCTCTCTGGAGCACAGGGACACAGAGCTGTGACAGCAGCCTGGGAGGCAGAGCACAGCAGGGATGGTCCTCCCAAAGGGCCAGGACACCCGCTAGGAGTCAGCAGTATTCCCCATTAGTACCTCATTTTCATAGTGTGAGCGCCACCTCCACACTGAAACCCCAACTAGCTGGGGTTTTGGAAAGAAAAATGGTCACTGTCAGGGGTGGCTAACAGTCTTTCATAGGGATGTCTTGAAGTTTTCTCTGTCACCAAGCAGAGACTAGCAGGCACTCCATTCTGCCTGGAGCCCAGCAATCCTCTCAAGTATTTTGTTAGGCAGTTTTTTAGCTTCTCCCCACTCAGTTAAGAATATGCAGCCTCCCTCAAGTTTCCCACAGAGGTTACTGAATGAATGGTTTTAGCGTCTATAGTGATCTCTTGAAAGGTGGCTTTTGTGGATTGACTCTGCACTCGTCTCCCAGAGTTGTCACCAGTCCCACCTTTATTTTTTCTAGCATAAAGGCACAATTTTAAGTAATCCCCACAAAACAAAACCAAAAAAAAAAACCTAACAGTTCTGTAGGCAAGTGCTAAAGGGGCGCTTGAAGGAAGCCACTGGTCTGTACGCCCAGCAGGGACAGAACACACTTGTCCAAGACAGAAACTCCAGAGGCCATGACCTCTTGGAACGCCTTGCAGGTCCCACCCTCTAGTAGATCAGCTACATGTTTGTCCCCATGTTTCAATTTCATTCTATTTTTCAACCAGAAAAGCACTCATAGGGCATGACGCCTCCAAGGTACAGCAGAACAAACTCTAAGCCGTTTCCTTAAAGCTTCAGCAAATGTCCAGTTTCACTCCCAGAAACAATCGCTTCGTTTCCTGCGGAATCCTCTGGAAGACCTCAGGCATAGGCAGCAGAAACACTTGCCCACTCTTGGCATACATACTTTCTCTCTTCTACTCACACCCTCCTTTTTTGTTACACTGTTATCAAGACACCACTTAAAATAATGTTCTTTTCTTTGCCTAATACAACATACCATGGAGTTTATGCCAGATCAATGCATTTAAAGCTTGGCTGCTTTCTACTACATGAATGCCCCATTAGCTATTTAAGGAGTCCCTCCTTAGAAAGCACATTTAGCTTATTCCCAATTGTGTGCTATTTTTTAAAATTATTGTTTACCCATAATCTTCTGGGCAAATCTGACAGCTTCTTCAACTGGGTCTGATGTCACAACTGCATCCAGGATACCAAACTTGAGTGCTTCACCTGCTAAAATATGTCTTCCTGAAAAAAAAGAAAAGAAAAGAAAATTAACCAATGAACACTGTGAGGATGAGCCAGGGCATTGTTCTTTCTGGAGGGGAAGGTGGCCATTCCTGGATATACCAGGAGCCTGTCCTGGAACTGGCTCTGTAGACCAGGCTGGCCTCAAACTCCCAGAGATATGCCTGCCTCTGCCTCCCAAGTGCTGGGATTAAAGGTGTGTGCCACCAATGGCCAGCCCTTCATGGAACCTTTTTGAAATGCCATTTTAAAGCAAACCCAGGCCACCAAATCACACTGTCCACTGAAGAAGACAGGTATGTGATACCTGCACCAGCTTGCCTGCTGATTCACAGGGGCCTTCGCCATGCAAATCAAAACTTGTCAGTCTCAGAGCTTATGCTTCTTTCTTGTGACAATTAAATAGCAGCATCTTAGGAATCAGTGCTGCGGGCAAAACCCAACCGAGTTCCCTTCACTTCTCTTTGTTACAGAACTTGTTTTCTTCCTGATTTTTCTCAAAATACTCTTGCTCTCCTGACAAATTTCTTCAATTTCCTCACAGGCTTAATTCTGCAGACCCTAGGGCTTGCAAACTCAATTCCCACCACTGTCATTCCCTTATATATTTTATGCTTCTGCTTCCATTTTGTCTTTTGCTTTGTATTTCTATAGGATGCTTAGTTACAGCATCCTCTGAAGAAATTGAAGTCACCTCAAATACTTCACGGTCTTTTGAAACATTAAACAATGTCATTAAATAATGTGTAACTTGATTATTTGAGTGAATTTCAATTCAATACATCTAGTTCTTCTTTTTCCTTTCATACACCTCATTTAAAAGAGCAAAGCTACTTTTAACTCATATAGACTGGTTTCTATGTTTTCATGTCGTTTTTTTTTACCAGAGCATATAGATCTGTATTATTGATTCTAAATAAATTCATTTCATATTCTTAGAAGTTATAAAGAACTTCAAAGAAATCCTATTTATGTTGGTTGTATCTGTCAATATTTCTGTAGTGGAATTAAAACTGGGAACCTTAGATTTCTGAATGAAATAATTTTAAAACGATGGCTAATTCATGACTTGTTAACACAACTTTTTGTTAAAATAACTGAATTTAAAACCTTGTCTGCAAGTGGGAACCTCATCTTAGTCTTAGAAACAGACACAGTGATATCAGGCTAGAGCTGATGGATAGGGAGCTTGTACTGTGTGTGAGCAGTCTTTAAGCTCACTGTGGGAACCTACACAATCTTTCCTTCAAAAGGCAGAAACAGCAATATCAGGCTAGAGCTGATGGATAGGGAGCTTGCACTATGTCTCAGCTCGGTGTGGTAACTTACACAATCTTCCCATCACCCTCTCATGTGTGTTACTGGAAAGACCTCCCACAGGCTCATAATGAACCACACTTGTTTGGAATATATACTTGTACATGTCCTATCTCCCAACCTCACCTCAACTGAAAGTCAAGTGGTTGTTTCATATTCCCCATTCAAAAAGAAAAACTTTCACTTAAACTACTATCTTAATACCTTGAAAGTGAATAATTCAATCATTGGTACCTAAACTTGAAAATTGAAAAATCTAGTTTTAATTATTTTGGATATTATACCTCTCTCTTCTTCCCTCCCTTCTTCTTTCCCTCCCTCCCTCTCTCCCATAGAGCTAAGGCTGGCCCTGAACACACTATATAGCTGAAGATGAGCCTGAACTCTACATCTTCCTCATTCTGCCTCCTAAGTGCTAGATTTTATACTTACCAGTCATTACATCTGGTTTTATGCATTGCCAAGGAACCAACTATGGTGGACAAACACACTATCAACTGAGTTATACCCACAGCCTCAGATATTCAAATTTATAAATGACATCTGATTTGTATGCTCCTATATGAATATGTAGCATGTGAATAACACAAACCACAACGTGATCCCAAACAGAGGGGCTCTTTGCATGCACTTTTCCTTCAGAAGGCAATCACAAGGGGTTTTTTTGGAAACATTTGGGATGTGCTCAAGCAAATTACTGTCTCCATTTTACAGATGACAAAATTTAGAGTCAGAGGAATTAAAATAGGCTCTTTAGAACCTGTGTGGGCAGTAAGTGACCAAGAACAGACTGGCCCCATTCTCCACATTGATCCAAATCACAAGCGAGGTTTCTACTGACCTGAGGTAATTAAGTCGAGGGCAATAGGGACCCCAATAAGTCTGGGGAGAAGCTGGGTCCCTCTGGCACCAGGAAGAATCCCCAGCGTGACCTCTGGAAAGCCAACACGAGCCTGCAAGACATTAAAAGCAGAAAGGCCACCATGGTGAAACAATGTGATGAGATCATGGGGTGCCCAGAACTTCCCACACCATTAGAAACAGCTTCATTGAAATCAGCAACAGTCTGCAGAGGGCACACAGTGTCTGCTGCCTCTGCAACATTACTAGCAGAGCTGTGCTGTTTTCAAATGTCCTTGCTTGGGCATACTTCTTTCTCTGACTCTATAAGTACCCCTCTCAGATAACAAAGTAGCCTTTGCATTTTCAGGGTCCCTGCAAGCATCAGAATATGAAGACAAAACCCATAAGCTGGAAGAGAACCATACACAACTTCCTGTATCTCCACTCTACAAAGAAAGCTCACAATTTAACAGTAAAAGGACAACAAACTAATAATGGGCTGATTATCTGAATAAACAACGCCCCAAAGAAAGGATACAAGTGGCAAATGATGCTTGGTATCATTAGCTATTGGGGATGTAAATGTAAGCTACAATGAAACACATGTGATGCCTGCCAGAGTGAATATAACAAAAGCAGCAGGTGCTCATTTTGGCAGCACATGTGCCCAAACTGGAAGAATACGGGCTGATTAGCATGGGAGCCGCCAAGAGTGACACACCTTTATGAAGCATTCCATACTTTTCAATAGAGAGGGGAAGACTGGGCTTCAAGTGCTTCAAAGGGGGAAATATGAAAAGTGGGGAGTTTAAATTAGTAAGTGGGTAGGAGATTAAAAAAAAAAAACAGAATAAAGAGGGAGAAGAATAAACTAACAGTAAAGATGTCTGAAAAAGAGGCTCAGCAGTTAAGGCACTGGCTGCTCATCCAAAGGACCAGGGTTCAATTCTCAGCACCACATGGTCGCTCACAACTGTCTGTACCACCAATCCCTGTGGATCTGACTCCTTCACACAGACACACATGCAGGTCAAATGCCAACACACACACGCTCGCGCACACACAATGTCTGAAAAAGTCATAAGTCATGCCATTATCTCTCTATCAAAACTTACACATAACACTACGTGTACATATATAGTTTAAGTGGTATTTTCCCATCTGGGCTGACAATGATACCTATAAGAGTCACAGAGAGTTTAACAGAAACCCAATACCAGACATGAGAAGTCCCTGCTTGAGTTCATTAGGAGTGTCAAAAAACTACAAAACATTGTGGTTACCTTTGGTTGTCTCCCAGAGGTGGAAGGAACATCCCTATTGCTGAAGACACCATGCACTTCAGACCCTGGGCCCAGAGGCTGTGGAGCTGGAATTGACCTGAAGGCCCCCTCCCTGACGGCCAGCTTTCGTGGTAATACAAGTTCCAAGGGAGGGAAGCACCAGCTATGGTGCCAAGAACCATAACAAACATTATGGGTACAGTAGTGACACCCACATCTCCATGTCAACCAATAGCTCTCTATTGAATTTAAGGCCTGCTCAACAAAAGGGAAATCAAAAGGGTTGCCTTGCTACCCAGGGCTAGTGAAGTCATAGGTGAACCTATGATCACTACTTTACTAAACAGCATAATTCCTAACTATTTTGTACACATTTGTCCTTATATCCACATAAGTGTAGTTCTCACCTCTCATCACAGAAACTTCTCTTTGTAACAGATGAAGACCAATGAAGGAAATCACAACCAGTCAAAATGCAGAGTTGTCTAGAAATGCCTTGCCCATAATTTCTTCTTAGAAGTCCTATTCTACCACAATTAAAATATCTGGTATTTTTATGTCTTTTCAAAACCTTTGGAGATCGTTTCTCCTACCCAAACTTCCGTGTCACTGAAGTTAAGACATCTGGTATCTTGATGTCTTCTCAAATTTTTGAATATCACTTCTCCTACTCAAGCTTCAATGTCATAGTCGTTACAGTCAATGTTGGCTGTATACAGGACCCATTCATCTGAATGTGTAGATCTGATCTTTAAGGGCCAAAGCACCTGTTTGTATGGTGGATTCACATTCTCATAAACTAAGGATTCTATGAGTATTCGCCTAGATTATGAAAGGAATAAGCAAAAGCTCTTGAACTTCAGGACTTAAAGAAAGGTTATAAAGCTCCCCAAGATAAAATTCTTGGTGAGGGTCTTTATGCTGACCCAGAAACTCAAGCTGCACATGATGAACACATCTTGTCTCTATGCTATACAGCAGCTTTGAATGCTTAGGATAAGGTTCAAGAACCAGGGGAGAGGATAGAATCCTATACCAAGGTGAGATAGGAACCAAGAGAAAACTTTAGCGTATTCCTACAAAGATTGTCTAGAGCAATACAATTAGAGGTAACAGATCCAGAATCTAGGCAAAGCAAACATCCAAGCCCCAGTACCCGAGATGCAAGAGCCATCGCCTGTCATCACCAGTAAGTCAGCTGTTCAAATCCATGAGCCTCAGGCCTGGCCCACCTTACAGTTTTCACTGAAGACAAACCCATTCTAACCCCAGCCCTGGAACTCTCTTACCTGAGCATTGGCAATCCGATAGTGACAGCCCAACGCCAGCTCCAGTCCCCCTCCAAGAGCTACCCCTTGGATAGCAGCCACCACCGGCTTCTTGCATCTCTGCATTTCGTCCACCACCTCCCCCAGTCGGAGGCCAGGAGATGGAGAGCTGAAGCTGTGAATATCAGCACCTACAGTCACAGACAAGAAGACATGGTTCAGATGATGGGGCCTTGTCACTAACACCTGGCAGGACTTAGAAGGCTAGGATGCCTTGGGGCTGAGAGGCGCTGCATCATTGAACTGTAGGTAGAAGGGAAGGAGAGAAAAATCAAACCTTTACTGGGAACCATATAATCTTCCAATTTCTGTGTTCCCATTTGGTAGCTAGCAGCCCCAACTTTGGAGAAAATTAAGAGCTCAGAAAAAGAACTAGATTCTTTCCTCAGTCTGTCATTCTAAGAGTCAGTGCCTCTTGCTGTCTACCAGCCTAGTTTTTAAGAATGCCACCCTTTCCTCACTGAAAGCAAAAACCATTACAGTGTAAATGACACAGTTAAATGCAGATTTCTTACCATTTATGTCAGTAAGCAACTTAGTATGTACTCATTCCCTGAAAGCATCTTTAAATTTATTTATTTATTTATTTATTTATTTATTTATTTATTTATTTATTTATTTATTTGGTCTTTTGAGACAGGGTTTCTCTGTATTGCTTTGGAGCCTGTCCTGGAACCAGGCTGGCCTTGAACTCAAAAATCGGCCTGCCTCTGCCTACCGAGTGCTGGGATCAAAGGTGTGCACCACTAATGCCTGGCTCTGAAAGCATTTTTAAATGACTTATTTATTTTTATTTTATGGGTTTGGGAATTTTGCTTGTGTGTTATCTGTGCCACATGCCTGCGTGCTTGTAGAAGCCAGAAGAGGGTGAAAAATTCCCAGGAACTGGTGTTAACAGAGGGTTGTGAGTGGTCATCCCATCCCAATATGAGCAGGAATCAAACCCAGGACCTCTGTAAGGGCAGCCAGTGCTCTTAGCCACTGAGCTGTCTCTTCTTCCCCTGATAGATCTCTTATGAGTTATAAAATTAACATAGCTTGTCTTTCTGGATTATAAAATTGATATAGGAATTATGAAAATGGAAAACCTGTACAAACAACAACAAAAACAAAGGACTGCCTAATATCACACAGATATGAGACTGCTGAATCCTAAGTCCTCCCACAAATATATAAATGGATTTGTGGCCTGACTGTGATATTTAACCTTTCCATCTCAATGCTAGCTTCGGTGACTTGAATGTCACTTGAGTGTGTCTTTCTAACACGGAGGACACAAGACAGTCAGTAATTCTTAGTGTTTCTACGGTATCATCTATTCTATGATATCAGTAAGCTCTGGTATAAACTTAAAAATGAATCTTTCCGGAGCTGAGAGTACAGTTCGATTGCAGAATGCTGGTATAGCATACAAAAGCTCGTTTAGGCCACAGGACTGCAAAGAGTTTAAACTGGAAAGAATAATTTTGTGTTAAGCATATTATCTACTTCTTTCCCCTCTTCTCTGGCTGCTCCTCATCAGCATCCTGTGAATACACCAGGCACGCACTCCATGGCCCCACATGCTGTCGCCTTTAAGTTTCTGCCAACTCGCTTATGTAGTGTGACCCTTTGCATCACCAGTAAAAACTTCAAGTTTTGAGGTATTAAACTGGTTGGCAGAGACAGCAATTAAATAAAATCACAATTACTCATGGAATAAAGATTCCAACCCAGGCAGCCAAGCTACAAAGCCCACATCTCACTGTAGCCTTTTAATCACAGTTAACAGTGTGGTTACAAACTTCACAGAAACCAAAGGTAAGGATGTAGACATTTCGTTTCTTGGAGAAAAAAATTAAATTTTGGGTAATGGTTTAATGTCTAGAAGTTTTATTAGATTCCTTTTTTGTTTGTTTTGTGTTGTTGTTTGTTTGTTTGTTTGTTTGTTTTTCAAGACAGAGTTTCTCTGTGTAACAGCTCTGGCTGTCCTGGAACTAGCTCTGTAGACCAGACTGGCCGCAAACTCACTGAGATCTGCCTGCCTCTGCCTCCAGAGTGCTGGGATTAAAGGTGCACCACCACCACTGGGCCTTGATGCCCTTCTTAATTACAATGTATTTCTGATGAATGCTTTTGCTATTCCTGCAAATATTACTGTATCTTTGGATAATGATTTTTTAAAATATTTTTTCACAACCCCTACACCATTGATTTATTTCTCTAGTTCAGTAGGCTGGCAAAGGGTCTGAATCCAAAAGGGTGGAGCTCAGCCTTCTCTTCCTCCCATGAGGAAAGCTCCCAACTCAGCATTTACTTGCTTGTTGTGGATCTGGTAAACATCTTCAGCAAGGATTCTTGTCTTCATGTTGTTGAATATAATTTCCTCTGCATCTCTTGAAATACTCATGTCATTGTCCTTTTTAATCTTCTACTGTAATAAATAGCACTGATAGAGTGTTTTAGCATTCATAGTCTAAGACAAAAGTGGCTGTTACATCTTTTATATAACAGGAGGTCCTGTTAGATAACAGCAAGTTAGGGTTGGTCTATCCTTTTGACTGATCACACTGTCCTGATCCAGTACCTGATCTGCCCTGATTGGGTAACAGCTCACAGCACCCTGATTGGATAGTGGTTTAAGCTCAGACTAGCATCAGCACAAACTGAGGCAGGTACTGTGCTCCAACATCCACAGACTATCTGTGAATATCATCTGACTTGGAAGCAGAGCCTTTGCTCAAGTTCAGAAGAAGTGATACAGGGGCTGGAGAGATGACTCAGCAGTTAAGAGCACTGGCTGCTCTTCAAGAGGACTTTGGTTCAGTTCCACATGGCATTGCATCACCATCTCTTAGCTTAAGTTCTAGGGGATCCAATGCCCTCCTGCTGGCATTGCATGTACATGGTATAAACATACACACTGCAAAAACATTCATAAGCATAAAATGAAAGTAATGAATCTTTCTTAAAAAGGAAAATATGCAGTACTTGGCAATGGGGAGCTAGCTAAGATCAGGGAACTTCAATATGGGAAGAACTCATGTGAAGACAGAGAGTAGGAGGTAATTCTTCCAAGGCAAAGATTGACAGTGCCAGCCACAGGAAGCCAGAAGGGAAAAAAGGACACAAAAGTCTTCTCCCTAAACCCCAGAGGAAGAGGGGCTTCTGGTGTCACATCACAAGATTCCAGCCTCCAGAACTGAGGAACAGGAAACCTCTAGTATTTTAAAATAGATTATAGACACTCAAGAGGCCAGCCTGGTCTGTATAGAGAGTTCCCAGTGAGCCAGTGAAAGAAAAAAACAAAAAAAAAAAAAAAAAGAAAGAAAGGAAGGAAGGAAGGAAGGAAGGAAGGAAGGAAGGAAGGAAGAAAGAAAAACAGTTTATGGAAAGTTGTTACAGCAGCCTCAGGAGACTTATCCAAAGAAGGTTCCAGGTCCCTTCTATCTCCTTCCTAAAATGTTTTCATAGACTTGGAGTAGCATTATATTTGAATTTGTAAGAGAGTTTGCCAGCAGGGCCTAGAATTTACTTTATGAGTTTTCTGATTGCTAATTGAATTTATTTATTGTCCTTTTTGAGGCACAGTGCTGCTAATGTAGCTAGCTCAGGCTATGGGACACTCTCTGTATAGTTTAGGGGACCTCTACTCCTCAGTTGAGATTACAGACCCATAACATCACATCCAGCTCTGTAATGGTTACACAACAGTTTGGGCCTTGCTTCTCCTTGAGTCAATTTTAGTAGATATACATTTTCCTAATACATGTTTCTAGTATCTTCAATATTACCTGTTTTATTTTTCAGCTGTTATTTAAAAAATTAAAAAAATATGTTGTTTGACAAATTTCATACATATATAAGACGCACTGTGATTACTCTTATCCCCACCCTCTCTTATGTCTCTGTCCCCGCCAACATCCATTCACTACAGAATCCCTTTCCCACAATCATGTCTTTGTGTTTTGCTTTATGGCCCACTGAGTTTATCTAGAGCCATCTGTGTACCATTATCGACTGAAGACACTGACTCCCCGTCTCCCAGCATCTACCAGGAGTCAACAGTTCAATGGGAGTGTCAGGGACCCAAGTGCCCCTCCCCAGCCACAACTGCCTAAGGAAAGACCTAGTCTTGCTCAGGTCCAGTATTGGTGGCTGTAGCTGCTGAGAGTTTGTGACTGCAGTGACTATGCCATGCTGGGTGGTGTTTTGTTTTGTTTTTGTTTTGTGGCCCGTCTCCTCACCTTCCAGCTCTTTTCTTTTGAGGCAGTCTCTCTGTGTAACCTGAACTGGCCCAGAGAGTAGTATGTAGCCCAGGCTGGCCTCGAGTGCTGAGGCTATAGGAGTGTACCACCAACTTTCACAGCTTTCAAATGCATTGGTTTTGCTTTCTCTCTCTTCCTTAATTTTAATTTTATCTTATGTTTATGAGCATCTTGCATGCATGTCTGTGTGAGGGTGCCAGACCCCTGGAACTGGAGTTACAGTTGTGAGACAACATGTAGGTACTGGGGATTGAACCCTGGTCCTCTGGAAGAGCAGCTAGTGTTCTTAACTGTTCAGCTATCTCTCTAGGCTCCCCCCCCCCCCCACCCCGCACTCTCTTTGACCAATTTCTTCACAGGTTTCTCAAGCTTTCATTACTTTCATCAAAACAAACAAAACAAAAACCTCACCAACATCACATTGTTGTTCCTTTGAGTTATGTCTGCTTGCTGTTTGGCTAAGTTTTTGTCTTCTTTATTTGGTCACATGTTACTGTTTATTTTGTCAGCTGCAGTGTTCAGTGCTTAGCTTATTGTGGTTCAGGCTTTTTCTTCTCTAGAATAACCCTTTAAAGCTATAAATTTCCTGCTAACACCTCCCCCAGGTCAGATGTTTTTTATTGTTGTTTAGTCGCTGTATTCTTGATAATGTATGTCTGACTCAAGGATTAAAAAGGAATTCAGTTTTCAGACAAACAAGAAGCTCTGCTTGTGTTTTTGCTGTTGGTTTGCAATCTGGCTGGAAGAATTCTAACAGGAGTTTACAGAGATGAGCTCTGTGTTCCTTGGGAATGTACCCAGGGCCTTGAAACCACAAAGCACTGAACCCCACCACTGAACTATACTCCCATAAATATATATATATATATATATATATATATATATATATATATATATATTTGAGATAGAGTTTCTCTGTGTAATAGCTCTGGCTGTCCTGGAACTCACAAAAATCCACCTGCTTCTGCCTCCCGAGTGCTGGGATTAAAGGGGTACACCACCACTGCCCAGCTACACCCCAAGATTGTATGCTCCAGTTACCAACCTATTTTTGTAAATGTTGCCAATGTGTTCAAGAGGGCACCTTTTGCTATTTAGAGATGCACCATCCTGCACACCTCTGCTAATCAAACTGGCTCATTTCTGATACTTCGCTAAATGCAAAAAATTTCAGCCCAGGATAACATTCCAATTTTCACCTCATCATCACACAGAAAATTGAGTTCTCGATAATTCTGAGCCCCCTTTGGGGCTCAGATCATCACTGTGGGTGTTCAAGCTTTGGATTCTAGTGAGAAAGCCATTTCATAGCTGGCTGAAAGTCAATGCATTATTTTAATCTGTCTTTACCTTGGCCTTCTTCACTTGGATTTGCTGAACATTACAATATATATGAGATCATTGGCACTTTTTTAAATTAGTAAACAATCTCCATAGTGTTGACCAGGAAAGGCAAGCTGTGAGTATCATGGTGGATACTTTTATATTGTTTTTATCCTGACTCTAGCATCAGTGTATTTTCAGGTTACCATTTACAAACACCAAATACCTGTGGTCAGGCGGATCCCCACGGCCCTCATTTCCATGTGACTTCTGTCAAAGTGTTCATTTTCAGGGCAGGGAAAGAAGAGGTACCACAAACTACAGCAAATGATTCAACACTTCAGATACTTTGGCTAAGTTGTGCATTGCCATGCAGGAGAGCAGTATTGTGGTCCCTCCAGGGAAGGGCTGCCCAAAGGAACATGAACTTCACTTCATGACTCCAGGAATAGAATGGCAATGTTTCCTGAACTTGTTCTGGGTACGGACACTGACAAGACTGCTCAGTCAGGGTATCTCATTTAAACCCAGACAACATCATTCAGCTACAAACTATGGCCCCTGTTCTATAAGCAGAGAAAATAAGGTAAGGCTATGAAAGAGATGGGCCCAAGCTCACACAGGGAGAAGGGACACACGCAGAGCAGACACACAGCAAGTTTATGGCAGCAGCTATTGGCCCTCACGACTGGAATAAAATGAGTCCAGTCCACATAAAAGAGACAAAGGCCACAGTCCTGTCTAGGTCTCTCTTGAGAGAGGTGTCCCTTCACCAGTGATGCTTCTCACTTCCACGCTGCTGTCCCCGTTCATTACCCACAGGGGCAGCTGACAAACTGTTGCCTGTATTCTGGGCATAATTCTAGAGGTGATGGGAAAGATGTGGACAGAGACAGCAGTTACCTGCACAGAAGCTGCCATTTGCTCCACAGATCACTATGGCTTTAATCGTGTAGTCTGACCCGGCTTTCTGAAGGCCCTCTCTTATTCCGCTGAGAACAGCTGGGCTAAAAAAAAAAAAAAAAAGAAAAGAAAGAAAGAAAAGCAGATTAGTCAAAATTAAATTTCTATGATCTTACAGATTTCCTTTGCTAGTGATGGATAAAACAATATAGATTCTCACCATTGTGAAATGTCTACTGTCTTCTCTCTTCTAAGCTACCTGTCTCTATCTTCTCAAACAGACACCCCACAACAGTCAGTTGTGGACCAGGTAATACTTTGATGGCACATGCCTTTAATCCCAGCACTTGGGAGGCAGAGGCAGGCAGATCTCTGAGTTCGAGGCCAGCCTGGTCTACAGAGCTAGTTCCAGGACAGGCTCCAAAGCAATACAGAGAAATCCTGTCTTGAAAAACCAAAAACAAGAAACCCAAACAGAAAAGACCTAAAGTTTAGTAAATCAAATGTGCTCAATTTTCAAAAAGAAAAAAAGAACATAAGTAAAAGAAGAAAAGAAAGACATGCCAAACATATGAGGTTAGGTTTTGATTTCAAGAAACATGATTTTCAGCTATGCATTTGTATATGTGTGTTTGTAGTTCCTAGGGAAAATACAGGGTCACCTCTTATGAGGGTGGTAGTTTTGGAGATGAGAAAGACATTCTTCTGGGGGAAGATGTAAAAATACCCTGTTTCTCCAGACACCCTAGACTTCAACTGGAATAGAAAGAAATTTGCAATTAAGGATTTATAATACTTTAGGGAATGAGAGAAACAGAATTATTTAAATAATAGCTCAGTGGTGCAATGGTGGAAGCTCTCACCTCTCAGCACTTGAGAGTCAGAAGCTAGTGGATCTCTGTGGGTCTGAGGCCATCAGGGCTACACACTGAGATCTTGTCTTTAAAAAAAAAATGGGGAGGGACTCAATAAGCTAGAAAGATAATTCCCCACAAAAATTAAAAACAAGAAAGAGCAAAAGTACAAAAGAAAGAAAAACTGGGAATGTATTTCACTTGGTGAACAAGCTACAATGTGGTAAATCCCCTTCTTAACATAAACGGTAAGAAAACACCTTGCAACAGAATAGCAAAGTCCTCAGGGAAGAAAGGCAGGGCTTTTCCCTTTACAGGGTAGTTATCTTTTACCTCCTTATTTCTACCCTTTAACCTTTGACCTTGACTGGTTAATTAGAAATGGAATCCTATCCTGGAAACAGATTCTGAGCCATTAGGTCACAGGCACATGCAGTTGATGTGGGTGTCCCACTATAGTTTATGAACATCTCCACATGTGGAGGTCTACTGTAGGAAGAGAGCTGATTGGCTGCATGAAGCCTATGGCTACTGCCATCTCTAGACTACTCAGAACTGGAAATATACTGGGAAAGGTGATTATGCATAAATGGAGGGGACACCTCCATGTTTATCAGGGCCTCACCCTGGGTGTGGTTACTTTTTGTTGTTTGTTTGTTTTTATCTGTGTTGGCTGAATGGCATATGGGACACCCAGGGATACAGAAGGCCATAGTATTTTCCTTCCAGGTAAAGAATGGCAGCCAGTGGTAGCTCACATCTGTAATCTCAGCATTTGGATGCTTGAGGCAGGAGGATTATTACAAATTCAAGGTCAACCTGAATTACAGAGTGAGGTCTTGCTCCAAAAATCCAAAGCAAACACCACCACCAATCCCTCAAACAACAATGAAATATCGGCCTCCACCAAATCACTTCAGTTGGTGCCTCCAGAAGAGGCTAGCATTTCCCGTTCCAACCACACCTCTCTTGTCATGTATGTTCTGGGTAAAACTGAAACACTCAAAAAGCCAGAATAAAGACAAAGAATGAGCTGCTATAGGGAAAACATTGCTACTAGATATAGGAGCTGGGAATGGCCATGGGGTGGTGGTGGCGGGGTATGAGGAGTAGAAAAAGATGAAGGAGTCTGCAGGAATAAACAGCTTTTCCTTAATGCAATGCAAATGCTTCATCTTTGGTCATATCAGGTGTTTCCTTGTGAACAGTTTTTAAAAATTACAATCTAAGTTCATCAAATCAAGTTTGAGGCTTATAAACCAATATTCCCCCAACAGAAAAGAAAATAGACAGTCCAAACTAACCTCTAAATATGCCTTTGTTTCCCAAAACTGTGGTTTCAGTAATGCATTAGTGTGCATGTCTTCAGTTCTAAAGTAAAACATTGTATTTTTAACTACATGGATTGCAGAGGAGGGGAGAGCAGGGATTGGGAGAGGGAATGGAAGCCACTGTTGCCAGGGCCAGGCCTGATAAGCAACCAGGAGCCAACTCTACACAACGCCAACACCCACCCGAACTCAAACACACGAGACTGGCTAGACTCAATGAAAGATTTAAACTATTTCTCTGGGTAAATACCGAAATGAGTCCAGTAAGCATGTTTATTAGTTACCTTTCCCCCAGTTACTGTTTACCCTTGAACCCGGAGGAAAGGAAATAAACCCCCTGACTTTTGACTGGTTAATTAGCAGTCAGATCATGACACAGCTTGAGAACTGTTACATAATATCTAGCCTCTCCACTTTTATTTATGTTCTTGGTAATTTGGGGAGAAATTCATAAATAGGAAAAACTGGAAAAAGAAAGTGGCTTTGTTTGGTTTTCTCCAGTTTAAGAGGAAAACCGAGACTAGGGAAAAGGTAATTATTAGACATGGGGCCAAGCCTCTCTGGTGTTCACTGAGGAAGTCTCCAGCTTCAAAGATTCAGGGGGCTCAGGAGAGACCACATCTGCAGCAATGGAAAGACCCCAGCAGCTAGGAGTGTGTCCTTCCCCACCACACTGCCAGAGGAGAGGACAGAGCCAGGAGAGGGGTGCCCGCTGAGTGGGGACAGAGCCAGGAAAGGGGTGCCCGCTGAGTGAGTGGGGACAGAGCCAGGAGAGGGGTGCCCACTGAGTGAGTGGGGACAGAGCCAGGAGAGGGGTGTCCGCTGAGTGGGGACAGAGCCAGGAGAGGGGTGCCCGCTGAGTGGGGACAGAGCCAGGAGAGGGGTGCCCGCTGAGTGAGTGGGGACAGAGCCAGGAGAGGGGTGCCCGCTGAGTGGGGGGGCAAAAGCAGGGGACATTTCCTGAGTGCTCACTGCATGTTTCAAGTTCTTTGACTACAGCTGGCTTTTCATTTTCAACTGTTAAAAAGAAATACAGCCGGGTAGTGGTGGCACACACCTTTAAAGCCCAGAACTTGGGAGGCAGAGGCAAGCGGATCTCTGTGAGTTCGAAGCCAGCGTGGTCTACAAAGCTAGTTCCAGGACAGCCAGGGATATTACATAGAGAAACCCTATCTCTTAAAAACCAACAAATTAGATTTAAAAAAAAATACCGTAGCTTATCAAGTTGTGCCTCTTCTGAACACTATCAGTATTTTTACAAAAACAGAAACACAAATGAACATGCCCAAGTAAACTCTAGGGGTAAGTTTGGCTTCAAAACCTAAGTTTTCAATTATGAATCTGTGTCTTCAGTTCCAATGTAAGACATGAAATTTCTTACTGTGTTAATTACAGAAGAAGCCAAAGTCAGTGTTTCAGAGGCAGGGCTAGAATCCTCGATACTGTGCACTTAGAAACAGGGCTGACACTGGTGAAGAGAAGCAAATATGGCCGGCTAGTCTAGCAATGAAGGTGTTAAACTACTTCTAAAAAATCAAAGTTATTCTAATCAGCATATCTCACTTAGCTAGGAAGAAGTAACCTCATACACACACACACACACACACACACACACACACACACACACATGCGTGTGCGCGAAATATAAGAGTTAAGGAGGGAGGAAGGAAGGAAAGAAAATAAAAGTGGTTGTTTTGTTTTAAGTGGGTTATCTGTATACTTAGTGAATTAGCTGTCAAAGGGAAGGTCATTGAAGAACCAATTTCTAGAAAGATATATGACCTCAGGGAATACAGGGGATGCTTGTCTTTGTATGATAGTTACCTTTCCCCTAGTTACTTTTCACCCTTTAACCTAGTTCAAACAGAACTTCTAACTTTCCACTGGCTAAGTGGAAACCCAATCTGATAATGAAATAAATTTAAAAAGCACTACATAATATATACAAGTCCAAAAGTTTCATGTAAATGCTCCTTGGTATATGTGGGAATTCCTCATGCATTCAAGTACTTAATGCAAAAGTCTTGTTATACATATAAATTATACTTCTAGACCATTTGTAATCCCCATAACATTGGAATACTTGTTAACAGTTTTTTTCTGCCTTTGGTTTTTTCGAGACAGGGTTTCTCTGTGGCTTTTGAGGCTGTTCTGGAACTAGCTCTGTAGACCAGGCTGGTCTCGAACTCACAGAGATCTGCTTGCCTCTGCCTCCCAAGTGCTGGGATTAAAGGCATGCACCACCAATGCCTGGCCTTGTTAATAGTTTTTATTTAAGAAAAAAAAGGTGGGTGTGTGTGTGACAGAGACCTAAGCATCCTGGATTAAAGGACATTTCTAGCCATAGTTGGCTGATATGAGCTCAGGGATACAAAGGACTGGCTGTTTCTAAGAGTCTCAAATTGAGCCAGAATCACCTTAGTCAGGGCTGGGAGAAGACAGGGACTTCTCCCATTCCAATCCAATCTTCCTCTTTTATCTGTGTTCTTGTAGACTTTTAAAAAAAACTCATGAACAGTAAAAGGAAAATGGCTGTAATGGATAACGTTCTATTAAATTCAATCAACTGAGAGTTTCCAGCAAGCCAAGAAAGCACTTCCTCTGCTTACAATGCCAGATGGGTAAGTGGAGTTCAGATGATGACAACATTCATTGGCTGAGAAAATAGCACAGTATTTAAAGTACTTGCCACAGAGCAGCAAGTATGAGGGCTGGAGACCAGAACCTATGGAAACACTGGATGGGTGTGGTGGCCAAGAGGTAGGATCCTTGGAGCAAGCTAGCTAACTAAACTAGGCCTATTGTTGGTGAGCTCTGAGTTCAATAGAGAGACTCTGCTTTGATGAATGAGGTGGGGAGCCATCAAGGAAGACTTGATGGCAACTACCGGCTTCCATATTCATACATGGGCACACGGGTGTAAATATACATACACATGTACACTTGAACATGCATGCTTGGACACCACCCCTATATATAAAAAAAAAATGGCAAAAAAAAAAAAAAAAATACCCCAAGATAGCATTTTGTGAGTGCTGCCTTAACCCTTCAGCTTTCCTTGACCATTGCTTGATTTTCCTACTGGAATTTTTTGCTGTTGTTACATATTCCAAAGCTTACCATATCAAATTGAGATCTACCATCAGCTCTTTTTTTTTCCAAATAAAGAAACAGAAGTAACACTAGAACATTCCAGAATCTATAACATGTGAGGATAGGCTAGGTTTCAGAAAATTCTCTCAGTTCTACATTGTGCATGCATGTATGCATCTTCAAATTTTATGTACTTAATTTAAAAATAAGAGATTTTTCACTAGGAGACTTATAGTAATAAAAAATGTTGAAAACCACCACTCTGTGAGACAGGCTCAGTAATCAGCCATGTTATGTAGTTAGGAAGAAACTTTACTTTCCCAAAATGGAGGGATACATGACTCCAGCAATGATGGATTTTCATTAATTGGGGAGAAGGAGAATTAGACAAGTTACCATACCTCATTTATATAGAAAGAGATAGCTTCCTGAATAAATTTAGAAAGAAAGAGAGAAAGAAAGAAAGGAAGAAATAAAGAAGGGAGGCAAAAAAATTACAGTTAAAAAAACAAACAACAACAACAAACCCAAGGAAGCTGTTAAAGTTGGTAAATAGTTTACATGAAGTTCAAGTTCACAGTAAAACAGATGGGAATGTGCAGGGTCTAAGAGCAGAAATCTGCACAAGGCTGAAGCAGAGTTGAGAAAGGAGGCCACTATAGGGGACTGACTACAGGCTGCTCAGAGTTACAAGGAGGACCAGAAGTGTGAAGTCATTTACAATCTGCATTTCATTTAACCCATGCCACTTCTTGAGTTAGGCATTTACGTTTCTCCAGGCTGGGGAGAGTCTGAGCAGGTAAAATGCCAGGAGCATACCTGACAGGACCAGAAGGGCTGTGGATGAGGCTGAGAAATCTCCCCATCACCTCCCAATAAACAGAAAACTCGGCAGAATCTTCTATCTAGTAACCCTACATATCAGCACATGAACATCCCAAATGGATAAGGAATCATATTGCTTATGCTTTCTCTGTGAAAACACGTGTAGTGCCTACTTTCTGGTCTCTGGGCTGAGATCAAGCGTGAAATTGACATTGGTATTTTGCTCCCACTGCCCCCCCCACAATGGCCAGTAAGTGGATGTGTTTGTGTGTTTATTTCTGCATACTGTGTCATCTCACCATGTTAATACATATTGCATATGAATTAGTGAGTGCAATCCTTCACATTAAAATAAGTATTGTATTAACCAGGTATGGTAGCACACATCTTTAATCCCAGTTCTTGCTAGGCAGAGGCAGGTGGATCTCTGTGAGTTCGAGGCCCACTTAGTACACAGGTCAACCGGACTACACAGTAAGACCCTATCTTTAAAAATTACAACATTAATAAAAAAGGATAAAAATTTGATCTCCATGGGCTGCAGGCATGCAGGCAGGGCACAGACTTATGTGCAGGTAAAACAAGCATGCACATAAAATAAAATAAAAATGATTTAAACATTTTTAAAATAAAGCCTATTGGCATCATGGTTTAAAGTGTCAGTTTAAATTAACATGTCTCCTCTTTTCTGGTATTTCTTTTTTCTTTATTCGTCTCTTTTTCTCTTCTTTTTTTTTTTTTTTTTTTTTTTTTTTTTTGAGACAGTCTCATTAGACCACTGCTCCCTCCTGTCTCAGCCTCCTGAGTGACGCTATTCTAGCTGTGTACCAACCCAGCATCTGTTTATTTTGCTCCAGCAGCTTGTGATGGAAATTTTCACCAAATGGCCTATTTTCACTTTATTTATTCTGCTGTTATACAGCTATTACCCTGGGATTGAAGCATTTCTTCCTGGAGGAGGAGAAAGGCTAAGATTCAGGAAACTAAAGAAACTGATAAGGTGCTGGAAGCTAAATAAATTTACCGATGTTTAAGATGCCCAGGAAGCTCAGAGAATTGCAAGATTCACATCCCCCACTCCACTCCTTGCTTCCGAAGTTACTGGAACAGAAGCAACTGTGTGCTGGGGTGGGGGATGGGTGTCTGTGCAGTGGAGTTCTCCTCCAGGTCTCTGGGAAGGGCTACAGGATGTAGGTGAAGGATTAGGGGAGGGGACTCCTGCAAACCAAACAGAACTCTTTGCTGGGGAGGGAGGGCTGCTTTCCAGTGTGGCTACCCTAAGGTCGCCTGTGCTTCTGCTCCCCGTTCACTGTTCTGACAGCCTAATAAACCCATTGCCCCCCCCCCAGAGTGAACCTGACTGGAACTGTTGTCCTTTGGGCTATATAAGGTCTCCCCCAGGAAAGGGATTTTAGCAACATCTCAGTGAATGATCCGGTCCACCACTTCGGCAGTCTGTGTACGGTAATTCCTCCTGAGGCTAACACAGAATTACACTCTATCGCCAGTGATATGAAATAAACAAGGTAAAATCAACTTGATCTCACTTTTAAAAGTAATGTGCTAAGTGCATTGCACGGAAGGCATCGCAGGTGAAGTAAGCAAAAATTCAGCGTTTCAGAAAATGCTGTTCAGTAACCTCCTCTGTCAGGAAGCATTGACACGCTTGGAGACCACACTCTACTTTTCTCTAAGTCGGTAACTATAGCTTTGGGTTTCACACGGAGACGCTGGGGTTGCAAGCCTTCAGTAGGGCTGCAGAAAGCCAAGCCTCTGTAAGTTCCTGACCCACCAGAACCAAAAGGACCTGAGCGAGCTGTGAGGTTGACAGCGGACAGAAGGAAGGCCGCCGGAGCCAGTTGTTCATTGGCTGGCCCTTCTAGGGAGGAGATCCCCCACCCAGACCCGCCACACCCCCTGAGCGGGTGCTGTTACCTGATGGCATTGACCGGAGGGTTGCGGAGGCGTATCAGCGCCAGGGAGTGAGGCAGCCTCAGATACTCAGCCATTTTCTCAAGGTATCCTGCACCTCTGACGTCTGGGACAGCCCGGAGCTCCTTTTCTGGGCCGCCCCGAGAGGAGGGGCACGCGCTGGACCAATGGGAGCCGCCGCCACCGCCTCCTGCCTTGCACCACAAACTCCCCATGCTGGCAGCACTCCAGGGAGGGTGGTCGGCCTCTGCTAGCAGAGAGAATGACCCAAGGCAAGCAGAGCTGCTGGGTGTCACCACTGAAATCAACCACATGTTCCCAAAACAGCCACCTGTCCATGCACGAAGCCCCGAGTGCCCCGTCTGCCCGTTCCTCTCTGGTTCTGACCCCTTCTAAACGCTGGGATTTCTCATAGTTCATCCATGAACTGCACACCTATTATGGACTGGATGTAGGCTGGATACTGATAATAAACCATCCCTGTCTCTTCCCTCTCAAAGCTCAGCCTGGACAGGGTTTTTCCAAATGCGTAAGCCTTTCATGGTTGCCAAAGCCCACCAAGTAGCCACAAGACAGTGTGCAAGGGGACAAGAAACATACACACACACACACACACACATCTTCACTGATTTTTCCCAAGTTTTAACAATGTGTAAAGATTATTTCCAGACATATTCTTTACTTCTTGAAATTAAGAAAGGGTTTGGCCGGGAGGTGGTGGCGCATGCCTTTAATCCCAGCACTCGGGAGGCAGAGGCAGGCGGATCTCTGTGAGTTCGAGGCCAGCCTGACCAACAAGAGCTAGTTCCAGAACAGCTTCCAAAGCCACAGAGAAACCCTGTCTCGAAAAACCTAAATAAATAAATAGTTTAGTTAGTAGAAAAATGCTGAGTGCCCTGGAAGTCCTGGTAACAAGCAGTGTTCAGAGTCTTCCCAATAATGGTAGTCCTAATGTCAAGGACAGCCCATCAGCCAAAGCACTCCTTCAGGTGCCAGAGATGACAAGAGCTTCATGGGAGCAAGCGGCTATGGACAAGCGATGGGGAATCTCTATCTACTGTCTCTAAAGTCATGCCTGATCTGTAGACTCTAACTAGTCTCCAAATTCTCCTAGTGTGTTCTGTTGAAGTAAGTCTTCATGGCCAGCCCAGGTCTTCCTGCCTATAAGGAGCAGTGGCTACAGCTTTGTTTCCCTTCAGATACTGGTATCTAGGAGAACACACTCTGCCACAGTATCCTAGGAACCTGAACAGGTAGAGTTCAAGGTTTAATAGCACTAACTGGCCTTATTACACCCCACCCCCTTGGAGCAGGGGGAGACAATAAGCATATTTGGAGCCAGCTTGTGACACTTTGTCCTCTCCATCTTGTAGGAGCCAGTCATTGGCCATTGTGTCTCTGCATTTTTATTTTAGTTGAGCACAGAACTTTTTGTTGTGTCTCCCACAGTGGGATCTTGGTGCAGGTGTCTATGTAAATCTAATGTACTGCTTGGCTGTTTAGAGTTGGTGACTCAACAGAGACAGGACCTATGTGAGTCAAGTGAGACATTCAAGGCACAAATTTCAAAGGGCAGTTACTATCAGGTTCACCCAGTGCTGACCCTCAACAACAGGGTCACCCACAGTCCTATCAATTACTCCCTCTATAAATGTTACACATTGAGATACCATTGGATGCAGCTAGGTGGTAGCATGTTGTTTTTTCTTTTCCTGGTAGTACAACACTGTTTATATGCAGGGGTTCCATATTTGCTGACTCCATAGATGTAAAATTTGCTAGTTAAGTAGGTTCTACCGTGTTGCTGTTTGTAGACTGCTTGACTATTTGATAGTCTTTTGATCATTGGTTTGAACTACCATATCCTTCTATTGTTTTGCTTAATTTGTCTTATGAAGTGCTTGGCGAGTGCACAAGATATCATTCCTCTTGGGTAAGCACTGCACACTATCTGCATGTCATGCTTTGCCCAAGTACATTAATTCATGAAGCAACTGCATTGCCTTGAGTTTACATTTCATGAAGGCATTTCAGGTTCATTAATGCTTCAAATCATTGTAAACACTGAAACTGCTACAGTGCCCAGACAGTAAGTGGTGAACCCTATAGAAAACCCTGGCCTTTTACCTGTTGGCCCAGGGTTCTATGGGAAGAACAGGAGTGGCTTCTTCTCCCCATCTGGAGAATCTGTCAGGCAAAGAATCCAGTTCAGTCTTACGGAAAAGAAAGGAACCACTCATGAGTCACTAATGATCCTTCTCATTTTTAACTTTGCAGTATGTAAGTTTTCAAGTGTACACAAAAACCAAGAACATAGTAAACCAACCATATCCGTATGTGGCCATTGATCATTGTTGCCCTCCTGAGTTTTACAGTAATTCCACTCACAAACTGTGGTGTTTTGGCACTAGCTCTGCTGACTGCAGGATAACAGTGCTTGGCATGGTGGCTCAAGTCACTGACTGTAATCCCAGGCATTACTCAGTAGGCTGAGACAGGAGGATCACCACGAGTTTGAGGCCACCCTGGGTTACATAGAGGAGGTCTTAAAACAAGCAACTGAAGGTGTTGTAATGACCTTTTTTCAATTCTCCTCCCAAACCTTCTCTATTGTGTCATCTTCCCATTCTATACCTGCCACCATACTGGTTTTTTTTTTTTTTTTTTTTTTTTTTGTTTTTTTTGAGGTATTTTAATAGGTAAAAGGGCAAGGACGTTAGAGGTTGATAAAACAGCTCAGAACTATTTCTGCAATTTATTTACTTTTTTACTCACTCAGCAAACTTTAAGACCTATTAGCTCCCAAAGCCTCAGGCATTCAAATGCCATCATTGTAAGTGATAGTTCAGTAGGTCAAAGGAGAGATGGGAGTGGAGGAGGGGCCAGAGACAAACAAAGGCAGACTGACCTTACCTCTTGTCATCTAGTGGTAATAGTAGTAAATTTTACTTATTTTCCTGTGACATAGAGCATCATAGTGTTTGTTTGGGAAGGAGTTAAAAAAGAACTCAGGACCTAGGAAGTTGAAGTGATTTATTTAAGGTCATATGGCTGCTAACATGGATTCATTTTGAGGATCTGGATCACATACCTGTGTGGCCTAGCAACCCTGAGATTTCCAGGGTAGAACAGCAGCTTGGAGTCCCATCAGAACTGGTCCTATAACTCAAGTCCAAATGTGGATACATATCTGGAGGCAGAGTTCCCCTTTCCTTAGTACACCTGCCTCAATCTTTTCCCTGTTAAGGCCTTCAATCACTTGGACAAGGCCCACCCATGTTACGGGGCATCACATGATTTATTCAAAACTAGCTAGAGAGATGGTTCATCAGTTAAGAGCACTGGCTGTTCTTCCAGAGAACCAGGAAGCTCTCACCTGTGTGTAACTCCAATTTCAAGGAATCTGAAGCTGCCTTCTGGCCTCTTTAGGGTTCAGGTTTGCACATGGTTCATATACATACATGCAGGCAAAATACCAAAACACATAAAAAACAAATTAAAAACTAAAATAATCAACTGATGGAAATGTTATTTTCACCTAAAAATTATTTTACAGAAACACTTAAAATGTTTCACCAATAACTGACTTTTGTGGCCTAATCATGTTGACATAGAAGATCAACTATCATAGAAGACAGAGCATGAAACTTGGTTCTGTGCAGATGAAGAGACAATAATTGGGTTTTTATTTTAAAATTTTATTTTATTTTAAAAAAGAAGATAAGTTGTTTTCTACATCGCTCAAGTGTGACAACTGGACAAGAAGGGACATTAGGAACTGTAATATCTTCAAGATCAAATGTCCTCATTAAAATGAACAATGATAGGAAACTATCATTCCCAGGGCTTTAGGCCAAAAGGCCTGGCTCAGAGTCCCCAACATTAGAACTGGCCACCCATCCCAAAAAGGCAAGCAAGGCAATGAGTAGTGTGGAAGGTCAGAAACAGGAGATTTATCAGTGTGGGTTCTGTGTCTGCACATCTGTCTTCCAGGGGCTAACAGAATACTGAACCTTTGTACAAAAGAGAAATGAAGGGTTATGAATAGCAGCTCATGTAAAGGAAAACATTTTATGGGGGCTTGCTTACAGTTTCAGAGGTTTAGTCCATTGTCATCACGTGGCGAAGCATGGCAGCATGTAGGTAGACCTGGTGCTGGGGCTCAGAGTCCTTACATCTTGATCCAAAGGCACCAGGAAGTGAACTAAGATACTGGGTGTGGGCTGAGCATATGTGAGTCCTCAAAGCCCACTCCCACAGTGACACACTTCTTCCTACAAGGCCACACCTACTCCAACAAAGCCACACCTCCTAATAGTGCCACTCCCTTTGGGGACCATTTTCTTTCAAACCACCACACAATTGGTGGGTATTCCTGCTCTGGGATACATGGAGGGTGTGATCTGTCCTGTGAGGTTCCCTGTTGTTCCTGGAAGCTAAGGTAACTACAGAAAAGAGTGACTAGGAAGAAGTTAAAGTGGCAAATAAAGAGCCAGCGAGGACAAAGGCCGTGTGGTTCAGGGTCTGAGTCTTTTCTAGCTGATTATTAGATTGGTGTAAGTCTTGATTGCTTGAAACTTTGCAAAGTCTGGTTTTTAATGACTTTAATTTGATGAAAACATTATCAGGTTTTATATCTAAAAATCAAGTTATGGTTTGTTGGGGCCAGATTGAGGAAGTGTTGAATGATGGAACTAGATGTGCCTATAAGAATACTAACATTGAAATATCTTTCCACTAAAAGAGCTGCATCCCTTACCAGATAGGGAACATCCCTAAGGCAAGTGTTCATTGTCTTCATCTTTATATCTCTAACATCTCTGTGCCTCCTATGTGAAGGAAAAGCAAATGGAATTAAAGAGGCTAAAATTCTAGAACTATCACTGGCTAACTTTGTGCCTCGTGGCAAAATTACGGAATCCTTACAGTCAAAAATGCCTACAAATATCCTTTGGTCTAAACCAGGCATGGCTAATGCTAGGGGGCTTCTGGTAGGAGGCCAGCCTGGGCCATATAGGGAGACCTTGCCTTAGAAAACAAAAGTTGTTTTTCTAATAAAATAGAACACTTCATCAAAAATGTCTTTACAAGGTCATCATGAATCAAAATGAATAGTAACTGTCATCG